GCATTCCTGAGTTGTACACTTTATAATAAACCAGTAAATGTAAGTAAAGTGTTTCCTAGATTCTGAGTCATTCCAGTGAATTCTCAAAAATGTTGGGGGTGGGGGGAGGTGGAGAGGGAATCATGAAAATCCCTTGATTTGTATTTGGCTGGGCAAAAGTGTGGAAGCCAAGCCCTCCTTTTACAGCTGGCACCTGAAGTGGGAGGGGTCTTGTGGGACTAAACCTGTAAATCTGTGGAGTGTGAGCTAACTCCATATAGTCAGTGTCAGGATAGAGTTGAACTGCTGAACACTCACATGGCACTGGAGAATTAGAGAACTGGTTGGTGTTTCTAAAAAGATGCACATTCGGTGTCAGAGAAAAGACAACACAGTGGGGCAACTTTTAACCTGCAAACGAACATATATTGGTCTCCATTTACTTTCCTTCTGTGAAGTCTTTGTATATTTCACAGGTTCTAAGAACTTGGAGAAGCCAACAGGGGATCCACGTGTTCCATTCTGTAACTTGCACTGCTATAATTTCATCTATTCCTCAACAAATTTAAAAGGCAGACTTCACAGGTCTCAGGAAATACACACATAGTGATTCTCTCACAAAGCTAGATTACTTCTATTTCAAACAGAGTGGAGAAACAGGAAAATATACCTACTGAAAGTAAAAGAGGGGTCAAAGGTTGGCAATGTCACCACTGTGAACTGAAAGTCTAGAAAGTTAAAATGTATGACTAAAATTTATCTTTAATTATCATTGAGTGATCAGTCTTTACCCAATCATTCTAATTAAATGGTTTTGTGCATAACCACTGTCAACCTGTGTGTAGTATTTCAGATCAAAGAGATCAGGTCATGAAAATTCTAGAACCTTAATAGAAAGATTTACTTTAAATTGTTGTCATGTAATCAGATTTTGTTTGTTCTACATTCTTATTTTATTCCCCTTATACATATCTTTATTATATTTTATCTTAGAAAGTGAGTGCTCTTACGTGAATATTTCATTTCTTGCAAAGGGTTTTAGCATTCTCTTGCTACTCTGGATTTATCAGTGTTTCAGTTCCACTGAGTTATTTTGTCATTTTCAATTTCCTTGTGTCACTCTTAGCAATGAGAATGGGGAAGTTCAGAAAGACTTATGAGCAGAAGAGGATGAGAGAGCATGCATTACCTTGTGACTTGGTAGAAAGGAAGGTGAGTCCTTACCTGGTCTTTACTGAAAGTAACCATGCACTGGTAAGCAGCGTCTGCTGATGCAAATATGTGGGGGGGATTTGAGGCACGTTTTACCCCATGATAAAGCCTGGAAAACTGAAGAAAAAAGTAATTTAAAGGAGACTTCTCATGATGTCAAGTCCCACTATCTCTTGCCCATGAAATCAAAGCAATGACTTAGTAGGGGATTTGTTGCACCAGGAATACTGTCAAGCACAGGTGTTGGAGTCAGTCCACAGACTCGAGTTCAAATCTACTTCTGTGCTTACTGGCCTGTGCCTCAGACTTCACTCTGTGCAAGCACTCTGTGTTCACTCCGCGTTTGCCAAATAGGCTGAACAACACCACCTGCCCCACAGGACTGAGAGGAGTAAATGAGGTGACCCAGTGCCCAGCCTGTTAGTACCCTGTAAGTACCCAGCAGATATTAGCTATTACTATTACAGCTTGCTTTAACAAGTTACCTCCAAAATGAAAGAATTGCACTGTGTTGTATTATTATCTGCAGTTTGAATATACATCTCTAGGGGACATACTTTCAGTCTACTTTTTCATTCTTTTCATTTGCTCTTGTGATTTTTTTATTTCCTATTTATGAGCAATGTGTTCTAAAAGCAACCCTTACCTGTGGAGAGTATATGCTTAGATTCTGGAAGGGGTTTAAGGCAATTAAGATGTCTCCAACATATGTGTAAATCAGTAAGTCCTCATAACGTTTCTGCAACTGATGAATAATTGTATCCTAAGAAGGGGATAAATGATATTGAGAATAAACATTATTTCCAATCAAGAGAAGGAGTCTACCACTGAAAACAAATTTATTCTTATAACATTCTCTAACAGATGAAAGTAATCCATTTAAATCATGCAGTGACCCTAATGATCCTAGATTAAGATGGTGCAGATATTTACCTTGAGAGAAGAAAAAATAGGCATACTCTGAAAGAATTAAGCCCACTGCCAAAAGACACTGAGATAGTCAATAAATTCTTTCTTATTGTGAAAAAAAAATCTCAACCAATAAAAACAACATCCTAATTAGAATGTTATTTAATAGGCCCTTTCTTCAGATAAAGCACAGACAAAATAGTAATTACATTTCTCAAAGCATGACACTTGAAGTCTAGGTGGAGGTGGTAGGAATATAGAATAGAACACTTGCATATTACACTTTAGGATTCAGGCATCAAAGTTAAAGGTCCCCAGAGTAAAGCTTAGCAGAAAAGGTCCAGTGTAATTAACAGCTCTATTAAACATGCTTATTTTAAATGGAGATTGCTGCAGTTTTCAAATTTAAAATTCAAGTTACATTAACTTCACTATTTCATAAATTAAACTCCTCTTTATAAGAGCAACTATGTTAAGGATTAACTGTGTGTGTTTTTGTTTTGTTTTGTTTTTAGGTTTTTGTCATAGAGCATGTGTGCTCTCTAAAGAGAGACAGAGAGAGAAAGTGAAAAGCCACCCCCTAGGAGGGATAGCCAGGCTGCAATCCTTTTATCTCCTCTCCTTCATTCTTCTCTTGAGATTTGGGGCATGCACATATACGTGCCTGGTGTGGATTTTAAGCCACCAGGTCTGGGACTCAAACCGTGATCAGCCATGTGGAAGTCCAGCACCTTAACTATCATGTCACCTGAAGGTCCCTATAATTTCTTATTACACAGAAAATAATCTCAGCTGATACAGCTTATCATTTAAGCCCTTAATATAAAGGGCTTTATTAGGAAAACCCATATTATTTTGTCTTCCTCATTCTAGGGACTTTAAGAGAACACAGATCATTGTCAGCAGCCAAACACTCCTTGAGCTTCACCCCACAGTGATGCAGATAATTAGCTTTTCAAGTGAACTTGGGGGAACATTGTCTACAAGAGAAAGGTCAGACCATTCACACACAAATGTTTTCAAGGAGAATTGTCTACCAAATATATAATACCTCATCCAGAACCTCTAGATTGACCAAGTCATCCTCAAGGCAATATTTTTCAGCATTCTCTACGTGATAGGGTCTTCTGGTATGCATCCTTTCATGCCTACAAATTTATCAAGAGAGTATTAGCGTTAAGACAATAAGTAACAGAAGTGGGCAATGAGGATGACTCATTCACAATCTATTTTTTTTTTTTTTTTGGAGAGATTTTTGCTATAGGGCACATGTGCTTTCCAGAAAGACAGAGACAGAGACAGAAAGTAAGACATCACCCCTCAGAGGGATGGCCATACCGCAATCCCTTCTCCTCCATTCTCCTCTCAGGATCTTGGGCACACACGCACATGCACCCAGCATGAGTTTAAGCCACTGGGTCCAGGACTCAAACCGCGGTTGACTACATGGGAGTCCAGCAACGTAGCCATTATGCCATCTGCTGGTCCCCATTCACAATCTTATGTGACATATTCAGAGACTACAAGACAGGGACAGGAAGAGAAAGTCCAGGTCCCCAAGCTCTCCCTGTCGTCCTGGTTACGGGGTAAGGTGAGCTCCATAGCTCAAGTCTCCTTCCTGCCACAATGAGGAGCATTACCGAATGGGCCCACCTAACACGGGTACTTGCTTCAGTGCCGACCACAGCACTTCTGGGAAAGCATCTCCTGTGTCCTTTCGGCTCAGTGTCAAGCATAGTTCTCACTGGGGTATCAACGTAAATGCCTAACTGCCCTTGAGGGCCTTTTGCCCTACCAGCCACCTCTAACTTTTTTATAAAAAATTTATTCTTTGTCACTTTTTTAAGAATTATTTTTATTTTAACCTTATTTATTTATTCTAATTTGACCAGAGAGGAACAGAGTGAGAGAGAGATGAGAGAGAGAGAGCGAGCGAGCGAGAGAGAGCAAGCTGCCAGGTCTGGGACTCAGCCATGTAGGAGTCCAGTACCCTCAACCCCCACGCCACATACCAGCCCCATTCGCCCCTAACATTTTAAGATATTTTTTTTAAACTACAGAAAACTTTAGAGAATAATACAGCAAATCCTTACGGAGTGATCATCGCTTGCATTTTACTTGTTTATTTAAAATCTCTTTCTAACCCTTGTCTCGTCCCATTTCCCTCTCTGGAGGTGACTACTATTTAGTGAGTATCCTTCCAATCTATGTTTAGATACTGGTGAATAATATAGCAGTCCTCTATGTTTAATTATTTTTTTAAATGACTTTTTTTTTAGCCTACTAAATCAAATCTCATTTCCCAGTCTCCATTACTGATAGATTTGGGGAAAAGAAAAAAAAAAAGATAGTTGAGTCATGTTTTTAGTCATCTCTAGAGCTAAATCGGGTTTGCTGCTAATTCATATAAAGATCCTTAATAGAATGAAGCTTAAATTTTATATCATTAAATCTAATTTACAACCTAAGCATTTTAAAAATTGTTAAATGGAATGATTGATTCATCTGTGTCTTTACACATTGGTGATGTAAAAGAGAAATCAATAAATTTGAAATATGGATTTTTTTTTTGTTGTTTTTAAAGAGATTTTCGCTTTAGGGCACATGCACTCTCCTGAGAGACAGAGAGATAGAAAGCAAGAAATCACCCCCCAGGGGGAGGATGGCCACACTGCAGTCCCTTCTGTTTCAGTCTCCTCTCATGATTTTAGGCATGCATGCATACATGCCCTGCGTATTTTAAACCACCAGGTCCAGGACTCGAACCACAATCTACTACGTGGGAGTGCAACAATGTAACCATTACACTGTCTGCTGGTCCCGAAATACAGATTTTTAAAATAAAACTCAGACGTGTTCCTGCTTTTACTTAGCCATTTTGCTCAACAAAACAACAGGAAAATGTATATTTGTGGCCTAAATCCCCTTCACATAACATCTAAGCATTGTTTGCTTGAAGTTCATCATGAAACAAAATATTGTAACACTTTTAAATGAAATACTTAAATTCTCATATTAAATTGAGTTAATTTATCTCCTTTATAAATGTATACCTTGTAATGAAGTGAAATAAATCATGTTAAAGTTTATTCTATACATCATTTGACAACAAAAAAATCTAGGATCAAAAAATTATACACAGATCTAGTTCCAGCCAAGATGCAGTTGGCGCTCTCCACTCTGTCTCCCCACTGAATGCACTAAGTCCTCTGGACAACATGCCGGGACCAGCCAGCTCAGCACTCTGAGAAGTACGTGGTAATGGGCAGATTGTGGAAGGAAATTAGAATTCAGGATACAACTGAATCATTGGTGGGTTTCCCAGGTTTTATTTCCCCCTCCAGTAACTCCTGACCTGGACTTAAAGGCAGCCTGAACTGCACAGAGATGTTAAGCTTCATGGTAAGATAACATTTTTATAGCCAGCTAAGTGCAATCTCACAGATAAATATGCTCTAGCAGAAAGTCGTGATTTTCATGGTGAGTATACACTTCCCAAAACTTGTATATTTGGACTAGCTCATGGCATAATAGTTAAGACAGCTGGATCCCACAAAGCTGACCATGTGGCTCAAGTTACAGACCCAGCAGTTTAAAAAATACACTGAGCGTGTGTGCATGTGTGCCCAAAATCCTGCAAGGAGGGAGAAATGGAAGAAAAGGGATTGCCCATTCCCCATGGTGGATGCTTTCTTACTCTCTGTCTCTTTCTCTCTCTCTCTCTCTCTCTCTCTGTGTCTCTCTGATGAGCAGATGTCTCGCTGGAAAATTAAAACACACACACACACACACACACACAATCACATAACTTCTGGGGCCAGGTGGTGGCACAGAAGTAACACAACTAGACCCATTTGGGCCAGTTCTGAATTCATGTCCCATGACCTCCCAGAGCACATAGGGCCTGTACAAGCTGAAACTGGGCGTAGGATCACAGTGTAAAGACTCTATTTAGGGGTCCCTGTCTCTCTTTCTAAACTTTTCTGTCTTTCTCTCTCTCTGAAGACATAAATAAATAAACTTCAGAAATACTATATCTGGGTCAACCCCACAGCACATCAGTTAAGCTCTGTGCTGGGGAGCTGGATCCCACATGGCAGACCATAGTTCAAATTCAGGACTCAGTGGCTTGAAAAACACACTGGGGGACCAGCAGATGGTGAAATGGTTACATCACTGGACTCCCACGTAGTCTACTGTGGTTCAAATCTTGGACCCAGTGGCTTAAAATTCACAACAGGCGTGTGTGTGTGTGCCCAAAATCCCAAGAGGAGAATGGAAGAGAAGGGATTGTGGCATGGCAAACCCCCCTGGGGGGTGATTCCTCGCTTCCTGTCTCTCTGTCTCTCTAGTGAGCGCATGAGCCCTATAGCAAAAATCTCTAAAAAAACTAAAAAAAAAAAAAAAAAAAAAAAAAAAAAAAAAAAAGAAGAAGAAGAAAGAAAGAAAAAAAAAGGAAAAGAAGAAAAGAAAAACACACTGGGTGCATTTGTGTGCATGCTCAAAATCCTGATAGGAAGGGGAAATGCAGGAAAAGGATCATGGTACACCATGCCCCACGGGGAAAAAGGAGTCCCCTCTCTTTCTCTCTCTCTTTGTTTCCCTCCCTTTGCCCATACTTCTCTCTCTCTCAAGCACATGGACCTCTGGAAATACTTTTCATTTTCTGAGCCACAGAAAACTGTCTGTATGCTTTCCTAATTTACCTGCAGGTTTAACTTCCAAGAATCAGGCAGGTGCTTTCTGTAAATTTAAGCTTGATTCTCATAAAAATCTTTTCCAAAAAAAATTTTTTTGAGAGAGAGAGATTTTTACTATACGGTGCACGCTCTCACTGAGAGATGGAAACAGAAAGTGAGAAATCACCCCCAAGATGGGGATGGCCATGCTGCAATCTCTCCTTCTCCACTCTTTGGGTATGCACACATGCATTTCCAGTGTGAGTTTCAAGCCCTTGGATCCAGGACTTTAACTGCATCAACCATGTGGGAGTTGAGCATCTTAACCACTACGCCATCTGCTGGCCCCTCAATAGTATTTTATGAACAAATAAAAACTTTTAAAAGACTTTGCCTGCTATTATTAGCAACAAACGACCCTTTCCCATGCCTATATGCAGATTTTTTAGAATTATTTGCTTCCAAAATTTGCTCTTCTTGCAATTTAGAAGTTGATATAGATACAAGATGCTTCCACTCTGACAAAGAGTACTTCATTTTCCCAAGCAGAAAAATACATACTTATCTACAACCCTACCTCTGCCTTTCCAACTAGTATAATTCTGAAATTGTCGCCTGCTTCATTTGTCCCTTTTGGCTATGCAGTTTGGAGGGTTTATCATAGAGAAAGAAAAAACAAACACACACACTTCCAATTTTGTCTCTTTTTTACACATTATCTTAGAGTTTAATATAATTATAAAAAGTGTTAAAATGTTTTATATTTCTCAGTTTTTTACTTGGCATTAATGAAAATAATTTAGTTTATAATTTTTTTTCCCCGTTTTGTTGAGTTAAACGATTTGTGGTCACCAGTAACAAGACTTAAATTTCAACTCACATACTCCACCTAGTGCCCTATATGAGAACAGCATCTATTATCAATTTTTTACTGAAAAATTCCTTAATTAAAAACTATAAATCTCCAACTAAAAGGAACTTCGAATGAGTATTCCAAAGCTTACAGAAATGAGAGAGAAATAAATATATGAATAAATAGCAAAAGAAATTCTATTAAACCAAGAGCATATGGTAAAGGCATTGTAGTGTAAATGTCTCAGAAGACATTTTCAAATTTCAGCAATCTATATTGTCTTGCTAAGCTTCTTACTTCGTTTTATGAGGCTCTAAGTATGTCAGCTGCCAAGCCTGAGTTCTCAAACAAACAGAGTTTGTGAGGTCGAAGCTTAGAGGGAGAAGTTCTGCCTTGAACTGGTTCCTGGATTTGAGGTTTGGTGTAGTATGAAGGGATGGGGGCTGGAGCGTAGGACTGTCCTTAGGTTTCAGGAATCAGAAAAGGAGGAAACTAGCATCTGAGTCCACAGCACAAGTAAGATGAAAACGGAAATTGGTGGAGAATAAGAACAGCATCTAAACAGTAGGGAAGACAAACACAGAAGCAGAAGCTAGGGGGGGGTCCCCCTAAAAAC